GGTTGCTGGTTCTATCCTCATTAGAGCTCATATAGGAGGCAACTGATGAGTGCTTCTCTTTGGTATTTCCCTCTCTCTCCCTTCCTTTCTCTCTAAAATCAATAAAACATATTCTCAGGTGAAGTTTTTTTTTTAAATAAGCTGCAGATATGACTCTTCACCTCTTAGGTACTTCAGTTTGTATCATCTAAAAAGGAGATACAGTTACCATACTCAGGAAGTATAGCATTGATACAATAGCATTATCTAATTGCAGACGTGTCGTAATGATGCCCTTTCTAACAACAATATACATATAACAACAGGGAGGAAGTCTCAATCCAGGAACAGTCTAGGACAGTGATGGCGAACCTTTTGAGCTTGGCGTGTCAGCATTTTGAAAAACCCTAACTTAACTCTGGTGCCTTGTCACATAGAGAAATTTTTTGACATTTGCAACCATAGTAAAACAAAGACTTATATTTTTGATATTTATTGTATATATTTAAATGCCATTTAACAAAGAAAAATCAACCAAAAAAATGAGTTCGTGTGTCACCTCTGACACGCATGTCATAGGTTTGCCATCACTGGTCTAGGATCACACATTACATTTAGTTATCAAGCCTCTTTAATCTTTCTGTCTTTCATGACATTAACATTTTTTAAAAATATAGGCCATTTGTTTGTAAAATGTTTCCCAATGTGGGCTTATTTTATATTTCCTCATGATTAGAGTTAGGTTATGCATTTTTTTTTTGGCAGAAATACTACATAGGTGATATCCCAACCCCCTAAGTGCATCACCTCAGCAGGTGCATGATGTCTGGTCACATCACTAATGACATTAAATTTGGTCACTTGGTTTAGGTAGCATCCAACAGGTTTCTTCACTGGAAAAGTCCCCTTTTCCCTTTGTAATTTAGAAATAGTCTGTTGAAAGATAGTAGGACAGCTACAAAACTATGTAATTGTCCTACTCCCCAACAAACTTTCACCTAATGGTTTTAGGATCTCTGGAAATTCTTGCCTGAATCCATTATAACGATGGTGGTTGCACAATGGTGATTTTCTAACTTTCATTCTTTATATATTTATAAGTTGGCGTTCTCTTATAAAGAAGAGCTTTCACTTTACCCATTTGTTTATTTCCTTATTACAAATAATGACTCACGGATTTTTTTCTTTAAAGTCAGTGTGTTATAATCCCTTACTGTCATTCATTTTGACGCTCAGATTGTCAGATGGGCCGATCTAACGTAACTGACCCCTAGCATCTGGGGAGAGAAATATCTAATCCCAGGAGTGAGGCATATTTTTAGTACATTCACAGTGCTTCTGAAATTTTAATTGTGTACAAATCACCTTGGGCCCCAGTTTCTGCATCCTATCAAGCTCCCTGGTGGTGCTGATGCTGATGGCCTGTGGACTGCAGCTGAAGTAGCAAAGGTGTAGAGTCTGCAGGCTGATCTGGAAGACTTAAAACATGTCTTGCTTTTCCTTTATTAGGATGAAAATTTTGCCTCATTTACATAGAAGAGACTCATCTTTTGAAGTGTATGAGCTCTGGTAGGCAGGAGGGGAGAGAACTGGGAGGGGGGGTGAGGGGAGGCAGACGATTTGAGCTCTATTCATCAAAAAATAAATGTTCAATGTTTTTGCTCAGTGGGAATTACGAGCTTTCTGTCATTGGCAGATTTCAGTTGCTCTTGGGCAAATAATTTTCTCTTTCCCTTTTAAAGCCATTTCTAGACAGATTGTTGCTGGCATGCCGGCATCTGCAGTTTGCGACCACTACATTCATAAAAATTCCAAATGTACGTGGTGTTTTGCATTGCTTGGTGATCTTATTTAATCTGTTTACATTTTCATCAGTAATCCTTTTTATTTCCTTACATAATTTCCCTTACCCATCTGTCATCTGACTTTTACATGTTCCCTTACTTCATTCTATTAAAAATGGATGGGGTCTTCCTTATAGAAGAAAACTTTACAATCAAGGGAATCCTTCTGTGGAGGTCTTAGAGGACACATTAGAAATCAGAGGATATCCACCCAGCTGGCATGGCTCAGTGGTTGAGCATCGACCTATGAACCAGCAGGTCATGGTTCAATTCCTGGTCAGGGCACATGCCTGGGTTTCGAGCTCAATCCCAGTCAGGGTCGTGCAGGAGGCAGCAAATCAATTGGTGTTTCTTTCTCTCTCTGTCCCTCCCCTCTTCTCTGAAAGCACTAAAAATATATTTTTAAAAAAGAAAAGAAATCAGAGGATACCTGATGTTATGGACTGAATGTTTGTGTCCCTCCCAAATTCATATGTTGAAATCCTACTTACTACTTTGTATGCTGTCCTTAGGAAATGGGCCTTTAGGAGGTCATTAGGAGTAGATAGTCATGAGGGTGGAGTTCTCATGAAGGGACCAAAGACCTTGCTACATCTACTCTGCTCTTGGCCACATGAGGTTACAATAGTCTGCTATCTGCAGTTTGGAAGAGGGTTCTCACGACCACCGAACTATGCTGGCACCCTGAAATAGGACTTCTAGCCTCCAGAACTGTGAGAAATCCATTTCTATTGTTTATAAGCCCCCCTCCCCCAGTTTATGACATTTTGTTATAGCAGCCCTGAACTGACTGAGACACTTGTTGAGATAAAATTATGTAATCATCCTAGTTTAGCAGCTACTCATGAGCACTGGAGAATGAAGGCGTGTGGAACCAACCAATGGTGCACACACCAACTCATCTAACTGCATCTGGAGGATTTCCAAAATGAATGTTCTGTTTGTGTTTGTTTGTTTTAATCTCTACCATTTGTATGTTTTGCTGTTTCTAGCATCAAGATAGATAGCTGATAATAGTATTAAACTTGAGTAAAGCGTGGGCAGTTTCTGACTTATGAATGAACGATTCACAGCTTTCCGTGCCCCAGTGCTTTCTCAGCTGCCCTTCCTTCCAGAAGGCTGGCCCCACCTCCCTGCTGAGGGACTCGGGTCAGGCTTCCCCTTTCTGCAAAGCCTCTACCTGCCGCCATAGCCCTTCTCTACCAGGAAGTGCGTAGCTCTTGTGATCCCTTTCTTGATCACAGCACATGCCTAGTGGAGTTAGCAGGGGTGTTATTCTCCCTCTCCGAGGAATGTGTGTTACGGAGGGTGTTTCAAATAGCCGCACTATGAAAGCCTTACTTCGCAAACCTAACCCGGAAATCTCCTAGTTAGATACATAAGCAAGGAGATGCCTTCTATGTTTTCTTTGTTAGAAGATGCCACCTGAAGATTTCTAATATCAAATTGCAGTAATGGGCTTGGCCTAGTAAGAGCTGATTGGCCCACAGAGGTTTCATGGTTGCTATAGAAGCACGGGGCGGCAGAACCGGTGGTCTGTGCAGGCCACTGTTAGGTACTCAGGAGTGTGGCCATGGCGGGGGGCCAAGCCCCTGTGGAAACAGAAAGGCTGTCTCAGTGCCTTGAGTGCTAGACACCTGGTACCAATTAGACCACACCTGCTTTCTGCTGTTTGTTCTCTCCTGTTCTCCCTTTAAAAAAAGTCACTGAAAATCAGAAATGTTTCAGATTCGGACCCAGATCTCTATGTATCTTTATAACCTCTCAAAATTGTGTGTAAAATCTGGCCATAGTAGTAAGAGAGCAAGTTTCCTCTCTTCTCTGTTTCAGATGTACAAGAATATCACTCTGACATTGAAAAATTCTCAGACAGGCGAGCTGCTTCACACACAGGTGCACACACACAGGCTCACACACATATGCACACACATGCATACACATGCACACACATGCATACACGCACACACAACTCCGGAGGACTATGGTGGCATCCTTCACAGTGCCCCACACAATGTTTAACATGTAGGTACTAGGAAGTGTTTGCTAAATAAATGATCCAAAGCAAAAAGGAATGGCAACTGGGCACATTTTATTTTCATTTCCGATCTTACTAGCTTTTTCAAAACAACATTTTGACTCCACATTATGTTTCCAGGGCTGTATTTGAACACATGTGCATAGGCTGACTGGCTATATCCAAACACAGAAGTGCCTATTTAGTTGACATGATTAACTGAGGGGATTGGGTGGGAGGTTGTGGAGTACTCTGGAAGTTATGTGCACCGTTAATTTTACCCAAAGAGTCTCGAGATGATGTCTTAGAGCAGCGGTTCTCAACCTGTGGGTCGCGACCCCTTTGGGAGTCGAACGACCCTTTCACAGGGGTCACCTAAGACCATCAGAAAACACATATATAATTACATATTGTTTTTGTGATAATCACTATGCTTTAATTATGTTCAATTTGTAACAATGAAAATACATCCTGCATATCAGATATTTACATTATGATTCATAACAGTAGCAAAATTACAGTTATGAAGTAGCAACGAAAATAATTTTATGGTTGGGGATCACCACAACATGAGGAACTGTATTAAAGGGTCGCGGCATTAGGAAGGTTGAGAACCACTGTCTTAGAGGGTCACTCCAGGACGGTATGCTGCATTAATTTTACTTACCGTGTGGCCATAGGGGATATTATAAATTCAGGCAGCAGTTACTGACCTGTGCTGAGCCCTCTCTGTCCCTGCCTTCAGGTCGTTTGCCACCTGCACTGATAGAGAACATGAAACACCAATACTGACACTACGCTGGTTAAACAGCAGGTGCACTGACCTCCAGCAGGAGAGACTCAAATGAGGGGAAAAGGCTGGAAGGAGGAACAGGTAGGGAAGATGTAGAATTGTATAATAATGGATGTTAATGATGATGAGGAGGAGACGGAGGAGGGAGGGCATTCCACTCCTTGAGAAGCAGTATAAGCAGAGGCTAGAGGTTGGTGTTCACCTTGAGTGTGCGGGACAGTGAGGATCCTGGTCTAGTTGTGGAGCAGAGGTTCTGAGTTGGAAAGAGTGGAGATAAGGTGGCAAAGCTTGTCCGGAGCCAGGCCCCAGAGGCATTCACGCTGCTGAAGATCAAAGTGATCTGGAAGGCGGTGGGTCGGCACAGGGACTGTCCTGGAGCCGCTTCGCTGGGTTCCACTCCTGCCTCCATTCGTCGTGAGCTGCGTGATCTAGGTTGTCATACAAGCTCTCTGTGGCATGTTTTCCTCGTGTGTAAAGTGGACAGTGATTTTATGTCTCACAGGGTTGCTGTAGGGAAAAAAAAAAGAAATAAGAATCACGTAACCCTCTTAGCACAGAGCTGGGTACTTGCTAGAGGTCCTCATATCCTCATTACTAGACAAGGGAAGGAAGTAGAGGCTGACTTTAGGAAGCTGACTTTGATATGGAGAGTGGGTTTCCATTTGTTGAAAACTTCGTGGGCTGAATCTTCAGGGGGCTTTGTGGCTATGCCTTTTACCTGGATGGAGTTGAAGACAGGAATTTAGAGGTGTCATCACCATTCCCAAGTTCTACAGGAAGGGACAGGAACGTGGACAGGGCGATGTGTTGAGGGAAGCCGGTCTGTTTTCACATCTCTTTTCCACAGATTCTAAGAATGATCATGCTTGACAGTCATTCAGGAATGATTTGGTCAAACTAATTAGCAGTGTTTCTTAATAGCCACAGAGAACTCTCATGCTGGTCAGTGAGAGGAAGTGAGTTATTGGGCCAGAAGTAACTGGAAGTTTGTTTGCTTGCCTTTTTGTTTCTTGGTTAATATTTTATATTTTGTACCCAGAGACTGCTGTGCTGACAGGGATGAGATAGAGAATTGAATCTGAATGGACGGAAATGGAAAATAATGATGACTATCCCTGCAAGAATTGTGGTGCCTGGCTTAGATAACAGGTGCATGCTAATTCTGTTGTGTTTACACTTTGTGAGGATAAGAAAATGGATGGCAGCTCTCCATATAAAAACAGGAATTCTTTTCAGACCTTTCCTTGAAGCTTATTTTTTTTTTTAACTATGAGATTTTGAGCTGAAAGGAACTCTTATTCATCCAGTAGGAGGTTTGAATTTTTAGTAAGCTTTTGTCTTTGTAAAGATAGGAATAAGTTGCACTTCAGTCCTATCTTCATGGTGGAAGTTGTATGACAATTTTTATAGCACAAGCATTATAATACATGAAGATACAGCATCTTCAATGGATAACATTACCGAACACATTTTTTGTTTATCACGGTAAGTTTTACTTCCTAAGGTCTGCTTGTCTATATTTTGAGTCTGAATATTATAGATGTTTCCATATATGGTATGCAGTGTTCATATGTACCATTCAAATGGTTTCAAGGGTCAGGACTTATAAATGCTAATAATTCTGGTAGAGCGCTCCAAAGATAATGCCAAGCATATACTGACATCAATTGTTAATTAAGTCTTGATGCTTGTGTCTTATACTAGTAAACAGAAAAGTGAGTGTGACTGTACTGTTACAACACATCTCTCTGCACTGGCCACTGTTGCTCAGAGGTTAGAGCATCAGCCAGTGCATCAAAGGGTCTACAGTTCTATTCCCAGTCAAGGGCACATACCTGGGTTACACATACCTGGGTTGTTGGTTCCATGTCGCCCCAGTCAGGGTGGGTGCAGGAGGCAGCCAATCAATGTATCTCTCTCACATTGATGTTTTTTTTTCTCTCTCTCCCTCCCTCTCTCTTTATTTCCCTCCCTCCCTCCCTTCCTCTCTCTAAAAATCAATGGGGAAAAAATGTCCTTAGGTGAGGATTAACCAAACCCCCTCCCCAAGTACATATCTCTCTAGTTCTTAGTACATGTGGTCTTGAAAATATACTATCATATGTGTGGACATATATGTATATATGTACTATGTGTTTATGCATATATGTATCAGTAATCTCTGTAACTGTTCAGCTAAACATAGCACAAATTAGTTCTATGCCAGATAATGTAAGTATTCATGGATATCAGATTCCTCTGAACTGATTCAAAAGAAGATGTAGAATTATGTGCAGTGTAAAGGGCACTTATCCCCCTCCCTCCAGGGTGCAGTTCTGCTGCTGCTGTGCTCCATCCCTGCCGTGTCGTCTATGGCATCTTCTCTCTGTGCATCTGTGTCTTCACATGGCATTCTCCCTGGCTGTCTCTCTCCTGTTTTTACAAGGACACTAGTCCTATTAGATGAAGAGCCCAACTATGCTAGTCTGACCTCATCATAACTTAATTATACTGTCAAAGACCTTATCTCCAAACAAGGTCACTATCACAGGTACCAGGGGTTAGGACTTCAACAACATGTTTTTTTGAGGGGACACAACTCAACCCATAACAGGCATGTAGAATAAATCTGTGCACTATTTAACATGTAATAAACATGTGTGTGAAGTGTGTGTATGTAATGTGGCATATTGAAACAATGAAGTTAATAAGCAGAGTACAGATGTGTGAAACATTCACATTGTTGAGTATGGGTATTATAAATGTCAACTTTTAAAAGCTGTCTTCTACATACTCTATGTTATTAATGACTAGTTTATTATTTGATACTTCTAAAGTGAATTAACTTATATAAAATACAGTGTTTAATCAGGTACTCATGCCTCTGCTGGTAAGTTCAGTTTCTAATTACAAAAATTATTTTCTTTTCTGGTAGAAATGAGCACCCCACTTAAAACTTTAGACTTCGTTGGTAAAAAGGATTAAAGAATAAATTGTTCAGGAAATACTGTAAAGGAAATGGTGATCTACTAATTTATAATTATCAACTTACAATTAACTCCCTTGTCAGTATGTGTGATAAGCATCATCCTTCTAAAGTTTTTAGGAAGTGAAGTATCATTATAAATTGTTTAAGTCAAGAATAACAATTCTTGACAAACCTTGCCTTTTAGGAAGTGAAGTATCATTATAAATTGTTTAAGTCAAGAATAACAATTCTTGACAAACCTTGCCTTTAAAAAAAAATAAGTCAAGGGCTCCTCATTTGTAACCCAACATATAGGTAATGACTGGACCTCAGTCTGGTCACTTGTATCAAAAGTTTACTTGGAAACTCAGTCCCTGTGGGCTGCATAAATTCCTTTCAGCATCAGAGAATTAAAAGCATCCCTTTTGTCTCTTTACTCTCAGTCCCTGTGGGCTGCATAAATTCCTTTCAGCATCAGAGAATTAAAAGCATCCCTTTTGTCTCTTTACTTTGTCAGGTCACATCTAGTTCTCATAGATGCAGCTTTCTTATTTCAAGTGTGTCCTCTCTTGTTGCAGCTGCGATCCTTCAAAGGAGATGAGATGGCGAGTTCTCACCACCCTGTCCTTCAGGGCCTCTTCTCAGCCCAGGAAGCAGGCTGCTGAGGTGGGCCACAGTGAGGCTGGAGTGGACACACACATGCCTCCAGCCTGACTTCCCAGGCCAGGGCAGCTTGCAGCATTCTCTCTAAGTGAGCAGACAGCTTACCCCTTGAAGCCCTGGGTTTTCTCTAGATCAGAATTCTAGAGTCTCAGGTAGAATGGGAAAACACTTTCTCTTTAAATGCCACTAAGACTTTTTGGTGTCTTGAAGGCAGAGGTGAGAGACCAAGCCTACTCCTTGGCAAACAGGAGAGAATGTTTTGGTTTAATTCTCCCTTTCTCTTTGTTGGTAGACTTTCTCCATTGTGACATACAAGAAAGATAAGATTGTGGCAGACCTGCCGAAACCGGTTTGGCTCAGTGGATAGAGCGTCGGCCTGCGGACTCAAAGGTCCCAGGTTCGATTCCGGTCAAGGGCATGTACTTGGGTTGCGGGCACATCCCCAGTAGGGGGTGTGCAGGAGGCAGCTGATCGATGTTTCTCTCTCATCGATGTTTCTAACTCTCTATCTCTCTCCCTTCCTCTCTGTAAAAAATCAATAAAAAATATATTAAAAAAAAAAAAAAAAAAAGATTGTGGCAGACCTTTGCCGGGAGCCAGTCCATCCTTGCTGCTTGACACAGTCGCTGCAGGGAAGAAACATCTGCACAGCATGTGTTTCAAGGGACCTGGCATATATAGCATACTGTTCTTAATGTGTTTGCTCCCCTTAGCGTTATGTGTTTTGGCCAACGTCACCTCTCCGAGAAAGGTTGTTTCCCCAGGTGGGGATTTTCCCCTGAAGTTAGGAAGGGAGTGAAACCCCTTAACTAAGTGCCAGGTGGGTAGTTAATCACCTTAACTACGAACAATCACGCTTAAGCTACATAATCTTTACTCCCTGGAATGGAGATAAGAAACGCCCTAACCTTTGGAATAGAAATTGATAGGATTAAAATCAACTGGTATAAATACAGATGTAACAAAACAGCAGAAGACAGAACCTAGAGAGAGAACCTAGCGAGAGAACATGGCAAAAGATCCTGGACAGAACATGGCTATAGAACTTGGCTGGAGGACCTGGACAGAACCTGGCTAGAACTTGGCTGGAGAACCTAACCAGAACTTCGCTGGAGATCCTAACCAGAACTTGGCTAGAGGTCCTGGCTAGGCTGCTGATCAACTGAACACTGTCTCCGTGTCATTCCTTCTTCGCCGACTCCATCCACACCTTTGGGGACCCCTGGACCTGCTGGGGTTGGACCCCAGCAGACCTTCACAATGAAGACTCAAAGCTGGTTTCTAATTCTCTGAGCCATTTGATGATGGTGATGGTGAGGAGGAGGAGGATGATACCACCACCTTTTGGAGGTTAAGCTATGGGAATCACTTGTAGAAGTGATCGACCCTGGGCCACAGGAGGCTTCTAATTGCTATTGTCTATGCACGTTCACAGAGATCATCTCCAGGTCAGGGACTGGCAAACTATCCCAAGGGCCAAATCTGGTTCACTGTCTGTTTCTTAAATAAAGTTTCTTGGAACACAGCTACATACATCGCTATATAGTTTTTGGTAGCTTTTGCCTGATACGGGCAGAGTTGAATAGTTGGAACTATGGCCCACAAAGCCTAAAATTTTTACCATATAACCCATTACAGATAAAATTTGCTGACCCCCTACTTTAGGTAATGTTTCATAATTGTGCAACTATATAATTGAAGAATTTCAAGGCCTGTGAGAGATTATGTACTTCAAGTCTAAAGTGATTTTATAGATCGGCAGGTCAAAGCTCATGAAATGACTTGCCAGGGGTCTTACTGTTTGTTGGTGATTTTCTTTTACTTTTCCTAAAAGAGAAGATTTTTCCCCCCATAACTTTACTTCAAGATACACAGAACAAAAAATTCATCATTTAACCATTTTATGTGGACAGTTTAGTGGCATTAAGTACAACAATATGAATATATTGGTACAACAATATGAATAAATTGCTTATAATATGAATATACTGTTGTACAACCATCACCACCGTCCTTCTCCAGGACTTTGTCATCTTCCCAAACTGAAACTCTGTACTCATTAAACAATAACGCTCTGTTCCCCCTGCCCCAGTCCCTGGAACTTCCATTCTACTTTCTGTCTCTATGAATTTGACTACTCCAAGTACTTCATATAAGTGGGGTCATATAATAGTTGTCCTTTTGTGACTGGCTAATCCATAACATTTTTATTTGAAGGAAATATGCTTTACAGAAACAGGAAAAGTCCAGCCTTGTCCCTGACTGATTCACCACTGGACTTGGTCCAGAGTAAGCTGATCAGATTTTCTTAACGTCCTCAGCTCCAAAATGATACTCTTTTCCTGAAGAATACAACACAATATCATGATGTTAGTCACTTAAAATTACAAAGGAAGATCTCAAAATTTTAGTGGAATAGTCACAAAATATTAACTTTGAAGCTCAGGTATGTGCTTCCGGTATTTTGGTATTATTTGTGAGAACACAAAATAATACTCATACAGTGACTTTGGGAATCAGAGCCAAAGATGAAGGATGATAACTCAGGTCTCATGACCCACTCCTGGGTAGGATCAAGCATACTTCTCTGGTGACTAGTTCTGAGTTTGTCAAGTTCAGTGTCTTCCTGTCCAAGGCAGTGTTGCCTGCACATTGCCCACATCTTGTGCTTTGTCTTTCCCTTTTGTGAGCTTCATACTCTTCATTCCTTTTCTATTTACACAAAGTTATTTCAGACTGGGTAGAATAGAATTGATTACATTTTAGGTTACTATGTCACATTTAAGTTCTGCCTTTCTAAGACTATACCCAGGTCACTCAGCTGGAGTTCTGAGTGTTCATAACTCCTTAGACTCCCATGGACATGCTATTTCCTGGTTTCAACTTGAGATGAGTAATTTAAGCCATGCTTTTCATATTTTACTCAGTTAGCACTTCAAGATAAAACTTATTGTGAAATTCTTGTAGAGGGAGGAAGGGAACCTGGCAGGAAAGTTAGGTGACCAAATACTGCCTCCATGTACTTCTTAATCGAAAATAAATTGTACTAAGGCATTTGTCTAAGTATTTGTTGGCCATCGGGCCTTAAATTATATCCTGTTTTTATCGCTGTTTTGTCCCAATAGCAGGGAAGGTTATGGGTATGAAATTCTTAAAATCAATTCAGCAAGCATTTGTGTGCTTACTATGTACTAAGTGCATTACTTGTATTAGCTCCTATAATCTTCTTAAAAACTCCTGAGATTTGTACTTTTATTATATCCATTTAAGGGATGAGAAAACTGAGACCCAAAATAGTTCTTTGCCCTATGACACCTAGCCAGTAAGAGGTTTTGCCAGAATTTGAATGTGAGCAGTCTTGATTGCAAATTCAGATTTCATTTATTTGCGTGTTCATTTGTCCATTCATTCAACCAATATTTAATGAGCGCCTATTATGTTTTAGACTTGATTCCAGGGATACAGCTGTAATGATAAATACTTTGCCCTCACAGAGCTCATACTTTGTTAACCACTTTTCTATTAAGCCATCTTGCCTTCTCATTCATCACCTCACCTACGATGCTTTGATGCTGGTGCTTTTTTACAGCTTCTCATTAAGGAAGGTATCAAATGAAGGTCTGGTAAATGGCAGGAGTTTTTCCAGTCAGCTAGGATGACTTCTTTCAACAGGCAGAATTGAAGAAACCATTGAAGATAAATATTGTTTGTTTCTTCTTGAATTATCAAGGATATGTTATCACAGCATCTGAGACTATTGTAGGGTTTATCACCCTGAAGGTCATGAATTAAGGATGTCTATGTTATATTATTGGTGCTGTCCACTGCTTTAATTTAAGCCAGTTTTCTCTTAGCTTTTCTGCAAACGTATTTAAAAATCAACCAGCATCTTAGTCAAGTTGAAGATAGTATGGACATATTAACTTGCCCTTTTGTTTTCAAGAAGTTTTTTGTTGTTATTGTTTTTGATCCAAGACAAAACTGTGAAGCATATTTGGTGGTTTGCCATCCTCTTTCAGATACTCTTTCTTTCATCCTTCTGGCTTCCCAGCCTCCTAGCCAGCAAAATGTTTCTGTTAATACCCTGCTAAAGTGTTATAACTAAAACCTCCTGTTCTCCTATGGAGTAAGAAGTCTACTAATCCTGGTGAGCTGGGAATAGATAGCTCAAGAGATGGCTCATAAGGGCTTAATTATGACCCTTCTGGAGAATTTGCATTTTAATGGAAAACATTTCTGCTACCCCTTCATCTGAGGGGAGTGGATAAAAATTTAACACACTAAGTCTACACCAAGCATGTCAAACTCTGTTGGCGGGCCGCATGCCTCGTTTATGTTTATTTAAATGAGGCATGCAGCCTGACGGCCGCGAGTTTCACATGTTTGGTCTACACTGTTGAACTAACCCACATTATTAAACATTTTGGGGGGACTGGTTTTCTTTGTGTGATTTTGAATTGCTTAGTGAAATATTTAGGTTTCCACATCTTGATTTTTTTAAATGGGTGTGATGAACATTGGTGCAGAGGAAGGAGTACTTTCTGACCATCGCATGTCTTATTTTATGCTGTGTCCCGGACCCACTGCTTGTCATGCCTGGAGTATCTCATTTGTTCTACAGACAATCTTTGGATATGTCTTAGTATCAGGACCTCTGCTGGGTGGTACTATTCAACTGCTGGTGGTTCACAAAATTACCACTGAGACCTTGTATTTTTTATAGTTTGCAATGTAAAAAAAACTCTTCTCAATAATCATCTCATTTAATCTTCTATATGCTCATTATAACAACACACAAGTATATAAAGGTCTTCCCTGTAGACCAGTGATTAAGATGATATTAATCTCAATTTCCATAGGAAGAACACGAAGCCAAAGGAAATTAAGTGATTTGTCCTGACTAAAAACCACGTTCTCTTGACTGAGTCTGGGGACCTTTCTTCCAAATCTAAGCCACAGCTATCTGTAAAATCAGGACCTGTTCATCCCTGTGCCTAATCTCCTTTGATACTTAAATGATTGTGTTACTGAGTTTCTGTAATGCATTTGCTCGAATTGAATTTCATATCTTTTTTTGGGGTAGGACATTTTTTTTCCTAATTTTTCTACAACCACTCCTAACTTAGAATCATCCACATTCAGATTTGATGGAATATTCTTAGTATCTGCATTTAAGTTATTTGTTCACTTATGATCCTCAGCAATGTAATCTGACCTCCCAAAATAACAGTTGCGGTTCTATAGTGATGTTTTAAAATATCACAGCCCTGATAATTGGAGTAAATCCAGTTTTTCCTTAGAGTCTGTACTTATTTTAGTGATAGTCTCTGTTCTTTCTGTGGTAAATGGAACTAGCTTCAGCCAACTGTTGACATCA